TGTAGTGGAAAAGGCAATTTTCACCATCTTTTGAAATATTTTTACACTCGGTTTTTCCATCATCCGCTTCTTAATGATCACAAAAATAGCAGTTCAGATGAGGAAAAAATACTTCCACTAAGCAGAGAGATTAAAAAAAAAAAAATCTTAAATCCTGCCTAAAGCCTAATTCATGTGTGTGTCTTGGTATAAATGACTGAAAATATTCATTTTTCCCCCACCTTAATAACTAGAATGGGAGAGGCTCCAGCAATGGCAGATCTGCTTGTGGTGGTGGTTAAATTTCTGCTGAAAAACCTTACCAGTTCTAGCTGTCACCCAGAAGGTGCTGAATTAAATACAATTTGAGTAAAGCATCACAGAATCGATATCAAAGTTGGTCTTAGAGACATAGTTCTGGGGACACAGTTATTGATATTGGAAGTCACATACTCTGAAAGGACTTCAGTAAGTAATAATGCGATGCTGCTTTGTGTACAAAATGCCCACGGCTGCAACCTCGCATGAGGTGCTTTTTCTGCGTTTTATGCTTAAAAGCAAAGTGATTATTTAATGCCTGCAAAATTATAGTGGGTTCAATGTTGCCGTCAATGGGAATAAAATACTAATCAAAAGGGAGCTTTTAAAAAGAATTCAGAAGGATAATAATCATAAGCTGTTTTGTAATGTGTCGGAGCACAGTTTGACATCTGCTGCTGGTTAACCATGCGCTTTCAATTATTTCCCACTCCCATCTTTGATCCAGAAAAGTGACAGAACGATTTCTGGACAAGGGGTGCTTTCAGTTGGTGCTGAAATGGATTGATTTTTGCTAAACAAAGCCAAAAGGCAGCGATGGTGGCAGTAGAGCTGCAGGAGGCCCAGTGCAGCTCAGCACCCAGGGGGAGATGCCGCCGTGTTCTGCTTCCCTCTGCTGGAGTGAGGGAGGAATCCTGGCTTGGGAGCAAATCTGATCCACTTTGGCAGGGCCAAAGGTGTCTGGGGAAGTCACTTGTGAATATCTATGGGTTTATGACCGGTTTCTGCTCGAATTTTCAGTTTTTCCTTCCATAGGTCCACACAGTGCACCTCTGTGTACAACGCATTGCCATGGATGTCAGGCTCCCTATAAGCATGCCTCAACTTTGAGATTAATGAATAGGATTTTGATTTTTCACATCCCTTTGGGGCGTATATGCTGAATCCCTATTCATCTTTATAGGGGCTCAGTGCCCACATGTGCCACAACAGGCCCTAAAACTCGTCTGTTGTGCTGCCATCAACTCGCAAACCCTGTCTAACTTTCTGCCAATTTAAAGGTACTTCAAAGGCAGATATTTCAGTGTTTGTGATACTCGCAGCTCAGAGTTCCTTTTCCATTTTAATTTTAATATATTGCATACAGTTCTACTTAAAAAATTTGGAATTGCCTTAGTAAAAGCAGAGGAAAGAAAAGCACTTCTCAGCATGAAAATAACAGGACTTTCAATATAGCGTATCATTCATCACTGCTTAACAAGTGCAGTGGTAATGCTTTCCCAATTGCCGCTTTCCCCCTTCATAATTTTGATGGATTTTGGAAACAGAAGTGGGTTTTCCCTTTGGAGTTTCACAATTAATCTATGCCAAGTTTAGTGCAAAGTTCAATTCTCTTGCAAATAGCAGCCATTATTTGGCAGTTCATCTGTCATATCCTGGCTTGGCTCCCTGTGTTTACTATGAAATATGACTGCCAGCAACGCTTCAGGAATTATTGAAAGTTTACATTGATTAAAAGGGGATATTTGAAAAAAATCTCCAGGAGCTTTCTTCTAACTCACTAGTTTACCTCTAGCTGAAAAGTACTGGCAAAAAAATGGTGTTATTTCCTCAATTGTGCACATAGATCCCTTAATGCATATTCAACATTGGGAAACATTAAATTGTATCAGCAATTAATATGTGTTAATTGCAATTAATAGTATAAGCCAGTAATTAGTGAGGGCAAAATAATTATTACAAAATAGTTGCAATTAAAGTGTAAACTATAGATTTCAAGTGCACGAGAAGTCCATGTTAGTACAGGGAATAACATGAGCAGTTTGATCGTCTTTGATGGGTGTGCAGAAATCTCTGAGCTTTCTCTATTCATTCTCATATTTGCTTGCAAAGCAATATTTTGATGTTTTTAATTCTTAAATTTACCAAATGTAAAAAAATGCCTAGGACTGAAACAGAAAAATAGGGTTAAATACTGATGAAGAGTTTGATCTCTTATTTGTTACCCTTTAAATATTTCAGAGGTCCTTCTATTTACTTCTATTAAAGAGATGGAAGTAGTTGCATTTCCTGCATGCAAAGTTTCCATTTCAGCAATAGTTTTGGTGCTGTTTTACTTCGTCCTCTGAATTTTTATGCTGTGCCTGGAAGAAGTGACTTTGTGTGTGTGTACAGCATAATAAAATATAATAGAACATGCTTGTTTCTCTTAAAATCTAATTCATATCGAATTGTTCATTTTAAACATTGTGCAATGAGCATTTTCACAGATTTTGTGTGAAAAAGGGTTTGACCCAACTTGATTTATTTACGTGACTGTTCTAATTTCATTGTTTCATACAAATGCTTTGCTCTTACCGAGTGCGGTATGGTTGTCCTCAAATGTCACAACATTTTTAAGCCCCACACACCCCTGCTAAACTTAATTACCATGTGTTTCCATTGATTGGAATGGAATTATTTGGTAGTGCTTGTTATATAATTTCAGTATAATACACAGGTTCAATGTATCTATTAGACACTCACTGTAATAATTTCCCGTCGTTCTTTCCCCTCTGTATCATTACATGATACTCATAAATACCACTTATGTCACATGTTAAACACAACTTTACAAATCTGTTTATTCAGTGTCATTCTTAGTAGCTGTGGTTTTTGTCCTTCTTAGCAACAGATGTGCTTACCAAAATAATGTTTAAGTGGATATATTTATAAGGCAACAAGTTCCCAACAAGTTTTGTTTGTAAACACAAAATTACGGAAGAATTAGCTTTGAAATTGTGTTTTAAATCTTTTGGTAGGCATATATCTAGTCCGAGTCAGGCCATCAGATATCCGTTTACTGAAGCAGTGTTCCCATGACCCCACACCCATTGGCTATATCTTTAATAAATAACGAAACAGATGTTCTCTGGAGCATTCTGAATGTCATTCCATCGCGGTTAACTGTGTTTACAAAATAAATATGGTTGTTAGCAGTTTGCGTTTCATATCTCAGGCTGTATAATAAATAGAACGACTGAAATACAATGCCAATTGGAATTCTTGCTGTAAAGTCCTTACTGGTTTTCCCAAGTAATAAGTAGTTTCTACCTGTGCAGTGAAAACTACTGCTTATAAATTCATTCTAAGGCTTAGAATCAGTACAGAAAAAATAACCAAAAACATTTACCAAAACAAACAAAAAACCTTCACAAATTATAGCATGGCAAAGCATTACATTTTCAAGGCAAGATTCTGCCTTTTCACAGTCATATTTTCATTTAAATTTCTGTCAGGAGTTCCCAAATTCCTTGAGGAAGCACTTATACTACATTTTTTAAGAGAGTCAGCATTTTGTATAACGTGTTTTGCTTTTGATTTTTCTTGAGAGCTTTTATTGGTAAATGCAAGTTGAAAGCTTGGTTTATTCTTGATGACAATTTAATAATTCTTATCTAATGCAGAGGTTTATTAAAACCAATATAAAATGTAAACAGGAGAACAATTTTGAGACCTCATTTTGCAGTTTTATTTGCTAAGGATGTTTAAATGCCTGCAAGACCTGGTATCGCATAGCTCCTCTGTCCTCATCCTCTGTCAGTGTATGAGGCTGTAAAAATCTGAAGGAAAAAAGAAAATGCTAGCAAGAATTGATTTAAAACCCCAACGTGTTCAATTAAGAATTGCAGTCTCTCCCAGCTTCTGATGGAGATTGTGCAGTGATGGTTTTGACTAAAATGCAGAGAGAAATCACGCTTCCCAAAACTGTGCTGAACCATGAAGTCGAAGCTGGAGGCAATCACGAAGGATATCAAAATACCTGATGTACGCAGAAAGTGTAGGGCTGTCGGGTTGTTTGTTCTGGCAATGCTCATCTTCAGATGTTGGGAACAGGCTGTGCGAGCTGGGTGCCCCTCAAATTCTGTACCTGTGTCCATGCCCGAGGCAGGTGAGAGTACTGAAGTTGGGATTTCCACCTTTTTCATATCAACGTTCATGATTCTCTGAAGGGGATTTCAGCCCCTAAAGGAACAGAATGTATCTGGACCTATCCGCAGAGTTTGTTTTTAAGGGATTTGGGTGTATTCCATTTCACTGCTCCTAAATTAGAAACCATTTCCAACCTGCTGGTGGCCTCAAAATGTCCTCACCATGAATTTCTCTGTTGGAAAACCAGGCAGGAATAGTGATCTGTGTAAAATCTTAATACTTGCCAGGTTTGAATTTGTTCGCTTTCATTTCCAAGAATATAGATGATAAATTTGCAGGATTTCAAGATGATCCCACCTTCAAGATCCTGATTTTACGGTCATTTTTACTTATTACTTCCACAGGCTACTTTTACAAGTTACTTCCCTTCCCTTCTGTATTTTGTATTGTTCTTTCAGAGTGGTGATGATAAATTTTAAATAAACAGGCAATGTATGACAGTTCAGCCACAAGATGGATGCCATCATTGTTATTTATGTTTATGTATAGTCACTAAATGGAAGTTTTAGTGTGTCTGAATCATCAGAACAAGCCTGGGTTCACTAAGCTGACATACTCTTTCTGACAAAACCAAAGCAAGGGAAAAATAGGAACTGAACACTAAACCTGTGGCAAATATATGAGCACTGATGTAGGTATTCTTACAGGGGTTATGAACAAGCTACATTCTGGAATATATTTTTGTAGCATAGGTTGCAGAGCTGGAAGGTTTTCAGTATTTGAAGTGATGTACTAAAGGTGTGCCAATCTTATTTCTTATGACTTAAGAATCTGTTTTTGTTTTTCTTCAGGATCCCAGAAGCAAGCACAAATTTAAGATCCACACATATGGCAGCCCAACCTTCTGTGACCACTGTGGGTCACTTCTTTATGGGCTTCTACACCAAGGGATGAAATGTGACAGTAAGTTAAGTTTTGCTTTGTTATGAAAGAGTCTTTTAAACAGTACATGGAAACACTGAATAACAACTTCTTATTTCTTTTCTGTGGAAAATGCCACTTCAAATGTGAGCTCTTTATAGTACCGATGTGTTTCAAGTGGATATTTCAGTATGCTAATAATATACTAATGAAAACCACCTCCGTTGCTGAGAGTGTGCTGTATGGACTTTGATATGACTGAAGTGCACTGTCATGTTGCTTTTGAGGAAACCTGGTTTTGGAGTGGACAGATGAACACACTGCTGAAGTCTGACATTTCAGTTCACTTGGTAGCCAAGGTCCACTATTTTCCTTGCATTTCATTTGTCTTGGAAGTCTCTTGCTAGAAAACCTAATAATCAATTTAAACCTAACTCCCTTCATTGCTGCTGCTGGCAGGAGTGCTCTGTTTTCTCAGTCATATTCCCAGCAAGTCCTTATTCCATGTTCACTTTTTTTTTCTTGCACTTCATTAATACATTTAGTTATCTGAAGTAGATTATTTTATGCAATGTTCTATTCACCATCTACAAAATGTAGATGGGAACTAGCTGTGTTGGTCACTCAAAAAGCATTGCAGCTATGGTCTGCAAATCTTGCCAACAGTTAGGCATGTCAGTCTTTAACTTCCACTTTGCTCAGTGTTTGCTGTGTAATCATATTATTAGTTCTCATAGCTGTCTGAACCATTTTTATATTCACAGCCTGTGATATGAATGTGCATAAGCAATGCGTAATAAATGTCCCGAGCCTCTGCGGCATGGATCACACCGAGAAAAGAGGAAGGATTTATCTGAAAGCTGAAGTCACTGCTGACAAACTGGAAGTAACAGGTAAATAGCTCACTTTGAAACATTGCGGGTTTTTTTAAATGTGAAATATGCCCTGTGGGTTTATATGCTTTGGTCAGCTTCTTTGGGAACAGAAGCCCATGACACAGTATTTCCCTTCAGAAAGGAGAGGATTTCACTCACTGCATTCTTGAATCAAGAAACGCTACTGGCATTCTGAAGAATCCACATTTGTTAAAGATAAACAGAAAATGAAAGAAAATAATAGCTTTAAAGTTCAGCAATATTCATTAGAAAAACACTATAATGTCAATTTTCCTTCTAGGAAACATCAAAGGGCTATCTAACTGGTCAGGAAGTTAGCCATCATCTTCAGAACACAAGAAATACTCTGAACTTCCATCAACTAAGGAGTTATTTCCTGCATTTCAGAGTATTTAATAAACAAAGGAACTTGGATTCAATCCCAAATAGTATTCCCAGTGTATTATAAAATAATAATAATTTTTAAAAGATCAGATTCTGCAAGTTAAGATTCTTCAAGATTCTTCTGTTAAGGTTCCCAAGATGGGGTGGAGGGAGAGAAAGGAAGGAAGGAGAGGGTGGTAGTTAGTTTCCTTGGAAATGCTTCTCCCAGAATTTATCAGTAAGCTTTGGATCCACACCCCCACAACTCATTCCAAGTCTGAAGTTGCAAGTAAAAAATATGGAAAATATATTTTTCAAGTGGAAGGACCATTTTGTGCCCCCAGAATGGATGTGTTGTTTAGCTCCAGCAGAACTTCCTTGTGCCATATCAGAGAGCAGAGTTTATCGCTCAGGATCCACTTAAGAATTTGTATTTACAGCATATGTTTTGTTTGCTCTGTATGTGCTTTCTGTTTTAACTGGGGTCACCTGATAATTAGTATCTGATATCTGAAGTGCAAAGCTGGTAGTGAACTTCAGTGTTGATTTTTCCTTTCTCTTGGACAGAAATATGCAAAAATGTTATTTGCCAATCAGATTACAATAATTTACTCAAAGGGAAAGCACAGGGTGGGAATTAGGACAGAAAAAAATTGACATACAGGAAGGAATAACAGACAATTTTAGTTGTATTTTTTCTTAGGTAGAGGCAAGTCTTAAATCTAAATTCTTAAAGGAAGTAGTATTTTTTTTAATCAGTCAGAACTTTCAAGAAATCGCAGAATCATGCTATAGTAAATAAAAACATAGGATGATATAACTTAGGAAACCAAGAAGAAGACGGTCATAAAACACAAAGTTATCAATGCTTTTACTTCAGGAGAGGGGTGGGTTTGTGTGTTGTCACAGGTGACCAACACTGCTTTAATGAAGAAAACGGCAACACATCTTAATACATCTTCATGCATATTACACGTACACTAATACTTCAAAATTTGTACCACAAAAAATGGAATTGAGTGTCCGCACAATGAAGCAGGAACCGGGTGCTGCTATCAGCATGTGCTTGGTGTTGCAAAAGGGAATCAAATTCGAGGGTAAAGCTACAGCAGGACAAAGTAGGACATTTCGCAGACATCTCCACTTCTGCTTTTGGTTTTTGATGGGGTTGTTGGCAACCTGTGGATGCTGAGGGTTGTTAAATTGCTTCAGCATCGCTCAGTTGAAAGGCTAGAGCCTAACTTTTGATTATCGCTGAAGTGGCCAGGCAGTTGGGCTCGATGGCATTTGCAGGTCCCTCCCAATTGAACTATTTTCTTTTCTTCCCTTCTATTATCTTGTGCACCAGAAGGATGTTCCTTCCACCTCTGCACTTCTTACATGGGGAATGAATCACACAAGCTACCATAGCCCTTGTAGGCAGCATAAAGGAAATCAGGCCACCACGCTGGATTTTCACAGCTCACACAAGTAGCAAACTTCCCTCCTGTCACCATTCATTCATGCTTTTGTTATCTCTGCATCTGAATGCCTCCAGATTCTCCTGTCAAACCTTGTAAAATGCACTGAAAGGGAGAGGTATGATGAAATTTAGTTAGAAAGGACTAGAACAGATCCCAAGTGATACTTAATTGTAGCAAACTTTTCAAATAGCTTCCTGCTGGCGTAGGAGGGGTAAATTTGTCCAAGATGCTGTCATTAGGAGAAAGGTGCTTTCACTGAGTAGTGAAGCATTTCAGAGAGGGAGATGCGGGTTCTGAAAGTAATTGTACCAGGAGAAAGAACTAATTTGAAAATCATCCAAGTGAAAAAAAAAATAATATATTTGCATTGCTCTAGGCCATTTTGCAGCAAGGCTCTTAAATACGACCTACAATTTCTGGCAATGTACATAATCAGGCAAGTAATGTTTCTTTTGTGATGATTCAGCAGGTTCATAGCCCTTTTAGGGACAAAAGGTTTCTACAAGTCTTTGTGGTACCGAGGTGTTGTAAAACAATTATACAAGTAGGTTTTTTTCTACATCAGAGTTTTAGTTGAAAAGGTCTTGTCTGAGGTATGGGTAAGGTAAAGTTGTTGCAGATGTTCTGTAGATGCTCTTCCTCAGCTCTTTTTGATGTGAGAGCACTTGGTAAATGCTGCTATTTGTGTGTCTACAGATCAAATGTTTTCATCCAACATTCAAGTGGGTTTCTGGACTATAAGAAAAAGGTTTATTACAACCTTGTTCTGCATGGGACAGCTATGGTGCTGTTATGTTGGGGCTTGTCAGCACTTCCAAGGCTTCCGAAAATTTGTTTAAATAAAAATGAGTTTCCTTGAAAGTAAGCTTTTTAAAATAAATAAATAAATAATAATATGCATATATATATATATATATATATATATATATATATATATATATATATATATATACACCAAGCCCATACTAAGGGAAGGGAAAGAAAGGGAAGGAAACCCCCTTACTGGGGGTGCCAAATACTGAACGATGGTAGGGACCGATCACTTGGGGGACACTGTTCAGTGCCTGGCCTGTTTGCTTCTACCTCACAGCTTTGAGGGTTTTGTAGTTGTAGTCGCTTTTCTTTCCAAAAAATGGCCACGGTACATGCTTGGTTACTAAGTGTTTTCCCAATAAAAACTTGCAATAATATATATTTTTTTTTATTTCCCCAGTGAGTACTGGGAAAGAGGCCAGTTGCAGCTGGCCAGTGGCTCAGTTAGACCATCTAAAATATATAAGCATTTTGGCCTGTTTTGAATTGAACTAATCATGGGAATGATTCAGTCCTATACATAAATATATTTCATTCCTGGGTACGTCAATGCGTACTTTGGATCTTCAGTGTTGGTACTTAAAGGTAGCCACAGTCTTTTCTGCCTGTGTGCTAGAGACTGCAATGCTTTATCCTAAATTAATAGGAATTTGGTAGTGTTATACTCTGCCAAAACCTCACCATCTCCCCAGTGCTAGTCAGTGCTGTTTCCAGCGCTGATTTGTGTTGCAGTTTTTAAATACCTATTCTTTATTTTATATCTACTACCTCAAGAGTTGCATTGGATACTAATAATTTATTGCACTTGGAGTAAATCAGCTTGGTAATTCTCTTGTCTAAGGAACTCATAGAATATTGAATTGTTGTGGGTTTTTTTTGGAATTCACTGAATTTGATAGGTTGGACTGATGGGTTTTTGCTTTTAAGCATAGTAAAGCAGTTTTGCCAGTCTTAGTTTCTGTTTTGTTTTGTTTTTCACTTAAATGTCTTCCTTCTGATGTGTGTTAGAAGTTTTGTCACTCTTACATTTACTTGTCAACCCATCGTATAATTTGGGGGGCTTCTGAGTGCTTTCGTAGGTGGTTGACTCACGGTTCTTATTTTAATTTTATTTTTGAATTATTTTTTTAGTGAGCAAACAATAACCTTTGTGAGAAAATAACCCCATCTGGTGCAGTGACATATAAAAAGCTGCCACATTGTTGGGATCCCAAACTGCGACCTGTCAGCTGCCAGGAGCTGGATCTGACAGCAGCTGCCAACAAAGATCTGCCCTCCTGACACGGGCGCACGGCTGGAGGCAGGCTGGTGGCGACTCCTTGTCATCCAGTGCACCCTTCTCTTACATAAACGGTGTTAAAATACATATACATACACGCAGCCCAGAGCTTTCAGGTTTTTAAGTGTATTTTTCTTAGCTGAAAGGATAACAAATGTGTTTTTATTCTTCCCTGATGCCTCCGTTATTTAAAAGACGAGGAAACCTGGGCGTGATTTCCGCAGGGGCTGGGAGCACGGAGCAGGCTCTCCAACAATAACCTCCCCAGGAGTTCTCTACTCCCCGCTGTACATTTTTCAAATTATTTATGAATGCCTTCTGCTGAGCCACCCTATGGTACCGCATATTAATGTTTTGTCACTCTGCTTGCTGTGGGGAGCTGGGTGAGCAGCCTCTGCCCAAAGGAGCTGGAGTGACAGACGGAAAATTTTGGCAAATTTTGAGATCCTCATAAACTGCTTCCTTAAAAGATCCCTCCACACACACTTGAATAATTTCATTTATGTTTGCCTAGGTCAGTACTAGTATATTTCTTTTTTAGCATTAATTTCATAATATTGTGCAACTGATGTTAAAAGTGCAACACATAGGAATATTCTGGCAATTTGACCAGCTGTTAGAATGAAGTACCTATAAAAGCGATCCCAAATAATTACTTGCATGTGGGAGGCTTTTTAATATCTCAGATATGAGTTGCACGTTTTATCTTGCGAATATAATCTTTTTTTTTTTTTTTTTCTGGCTTTCCCAGAATCTGCAGGGTTGCTGTGCTCAGTACAAAGAGGGCTGTGCCTTTAGAAATGCCAGCCTGGGTAGCAAACAAATACTTCCCATTTCATTCAATAAATTTTCTTTACCATGAAAGAAAAGGCAATGTGCTGTATTTAAAAGAAGCATTAGTTTTTCATAGATGTCCATCTGCCTGCATAGAAAAAAAAAAATGCTACAGATTTGTATAACAATGTAAACAGGTAGGAATATAAATTCATTCCCTTTTCAGACAGTTTGACACAATAAGAGTCAAATTTTTGTGTTAAGGCTTATGATTTATTAAGTAGTTATCCTTCTCAGTACTAGGT